TGTTCGGTCCTCCCTGCATCCCTTGGAAGGACTTTCCCACACTGCTCCTGGGCTTGGCCATGTGACTTGCTTTGGTCAATGGGCCAATACCAGGTGATGTAAGCAGAGGCTTGAAGATCCGCTGTGCACTGGGACTTACTCTCGTTGTTTTCAGAGCCCTGAACCCCTGTACCAACAAGCTTGGGCTCGCCTGTGGGATGATGAGAGCTTGGCCCAGTTGCTCCATTACCCAAATGACAGCAGAGCCATTAAGCTAAACTGCAGCTGACTGAAGTCCCATAAACGAGTCTAGCAGAGAACCCAGAACTGCCCAGCTGAGTCCAGCCCAAAGTGCCAACCCACAGAACTAGGAGTTGCATCAATGTTTGTTAAGCCACTAAATTTTGGTGTTTGTTTTAGAACACAGGCTAGCTAATACATCTGAGGGTTTTTTCTTACACACACAGATGTGCGTGTGCACACTCAGATGTGCATACACACCAATATATTGTCAACTGGGAAAAAGAGAGATACTTGTATTACAGTGTGTTCCTACCACAATTTGGCGCAGGGATACAATGACCCATAGAAATGGAACAGAAAAGCAGGAAAAAATGCAAAAAGTGTGATTTACGTTGAAATTGGGTCTTTTCCACAGACCATTCAATCATGCCTGAAAAATATTTAGAGATGATTGCAACTTGAAAAAAATACATGGAGAAAAAGAAATGGCCTGATTCTAGCTCTGTGTAACCCAGTGGCCATGAGCCTATGCACTAAGTGAAGTGGCCAGGCTATGCACTAAATGAAGTGAAAAAGAGCACAGTAGCTCCAGACGTCAAGGGGATTCCCAATGCAAACCTAACTGGAAATTGCCTTAATAAGGAAGTCAGGCATTCATAATAAGGTAACATGATATATTGTTTTTCCAATGTGTAAAGTTTAAAATAAATATATTTTACAACTGGGAATTTTTCCATAGAGATCTTAATAAATGACAGTGCTTGTAACATTAATTATCTGGAAAAAAGTCCCAACATTTATCTTGAGCTATTAGAATAAACTGTCATTTCCTGTTTAAATTAAGGAACATGTCATTGCTTTCCTTTAAAAACAAAGATTTTAGATCTTGGAGTTTTTAAAAATTCTTTGTTGAGAAAAATAAGATAAGGGATGAGAAATTTCCTTTTAACAACCATCAAAACGGAAAGAGATCCCACTATATGGGAGACCATAATCACCAATGATGCATAAGATAAGGCGTTAATTTTCAAAATATATAGAGTGCTCATACAACTCAACAAAAGGAAGACAAAGAACCCAATTAAAAAATGGGCAGAGGACCTAAATAGACACCTCTCCAAAAAGGACATACAAATGGCCAAGAGACATGTGAAGAAATGCTCAAGATCACTAATCATCAGAGAGATGCACATTAAAACAACTATGAGGTATCACCTCACACCAGTTACAATGGCCATCATCAACAAATCATCAAACAACAAGTGTTGGCAAGGGTGTGGAGAAAAGGGAACTCTAGTATACTGCTGGTGGGAATGCAGACTGGTGTAGCCACTGTGGAAAACACTCTGGTGTTACCTCAAAAAGTTCAAAATTGAACTGCCATTTGACCCAGTGATCCTACTTCTAGGAATTTACCCTAAGAAGCCTGAAACACCAATCAGAAAGAATATATGTACCCCTATGTTCATAGCAGCACTATTTACAATAGTTAAGATCTGGAAACAGCCCAAGTGTCCATCAGTAGATGAATGGATAAAAAAGCAGTGGTACATGTACACAATGGAATACTATGTAGCTGTAAGAAAGAAAGATCTCTTATCCTTTGAGATGGCATGGAAGAACCTGGAGAGTATTATGCTAAGCGAAACAAGCCAAGCAGAGAAAGACAAATATCACATGATCTCACTTGTTTGTGGAATATAATGAACTAAACAAACTGCTGAACAAAATTAACCCAGAGACATCGGGAGGGGGTACAGACTGACAAGCCTTAGAGGAGGGGGGTTGGGGGAGAAGAGATAAAACCACAGAACTTACATGCATGTATGCATGACCATTGAACATATACAACAAAGCTAGGGATGGGGCAGCAGGGGTCAGGGGGAGGGTATCAATGTGAGAAAAATGAGAAACATCTGTAACAAAAACAAACAAACAAACAAATAAATAAATAAATAAATAAATGAATAAATAAAATTTCTCGAAAACTTCAACTTAAGTGATGCCGTTACCGATCATTTAAAAACTTTTAGGTAATTGATAAATTTTTTAAAAGCCTCACCCTTCTGTGGTTATTGTATATTCTTTATTTATATCAAATTTTGAATCAGGTTATGATTTGTCTTAATGATGGAGAAAGATGCCACACACCTGCTTTTATAACTTGAACACTGAAAAATAGTCATATTGAGAAGTGATTTAAAAAATTCCATTTCTAAGGCATTTTTTTTTTTTCTCCTCTAAGAGTAAGTTTCTTTTCTTCAATATGGATTGTTTTGCATTAGTGTAATGGCCAGTGGGAAGAAGTCAGCTTTGTCACTGAAAGTTTACTGGAACATGACTGAATTCTGGGTGGGAACATGTGTCATTCCATTGATCTCCAGGGTTGATTCTGCTCATCTGGCCAGCAGTGCTCATGTTCCTCACCCGCTCCATGTCCCTCTTGCCTGCTCTATGTCCCTCCCTCTCGAAGTGGCTCGCTGTCTTGGCTGACAGAGGACCACTTTCTGAGATAGAGGCGGATTTTTCTTCAGTCAGGGGTATCAGAACAGCTGCTGGGCTCTTCTGCTAAAACCATCAAACAAGCTCTCCAGGTCCATTTATAGGAGAAGGTAGGGTCATCAACTTCCAAGACTCCGGACACATTGAAATGAGGCACTGCACATGCCAGTCTGCTTTCTTTCAGGAAAAAAAGAAAAATTACTGTGTGCCAGGCAGGTGCAGAGATGGTCATGTAAACACGAATAAGAACCTCTGCCCTCCAGGAGCTAATAGTCTTCACCACTGAGAAGGACTCCGTTGTCTTCTCTGCCACAGGACATGATGGTGTTCTGATAGATTTTAAGAGGTAGGAGATAAAAGGGCTTTTAAACAAATGTGCCCTGTAAAGGCGTGCAGAATCATTTTCAAATAAATGCAACGAGAGGTAATCACCCTCCCACCCTAAATATTACTGCTTTTTTAAAGCTGAGAATTGTGTACAAAACAAAGAAATTAAGTGGAATGTGACAGTGATGGCTGTTTTTCAAAATATGACATTTAATCAGTTTGATTTGTATCTCATTCCGTTTCTTTGTTCCTTCTTCCCTGACACACACACTTCTTAATATCATATAAGACATCTCTTCGAGTTTTGGGAAAAAATAAATAGGATAACAGTATAACAATGACAAATAGTGATGTATTATATGAAAATGTAATTCTAAGTGATAACAGCTTGTAAGCAATTAAAGTCAATGTACTTAAATGATATCAGCAGTTGAATGCTAAGGAATGTCAAACTGGATATTCTCTATGGATGTATTGTAATGGAGACCACATTTTTAAACAAAAAGTTGGAATATTTGGTCTGATTCCTAGACAGAATGCATGATATTAAAATTTGTTAGGAAACCATGGACATATGAATGTTTAACAAATAACACAATCCTCATTCATGCAGACTATAAATGAGGAGTCTTGTACTCCTCCCTCCATGCTCACCCAATTGCTAAAGAACCACATGATTTACAGCTCCCACCATCTCACACTTATTCCAATCATCCTGTTGCGTATAGCACACTCTTGGCTTGGGAGTCATGCTTGGGGGTAACAAAGTGTCTTTTTTTTTCCATTCAAAAAGTCTTATACATAATGGCAGACTTAAAAAAATGTTATAAACTATCAACTATTGTTTTACTCGGAAGGATCCACCATTGCTCTCCGCCTCACCCTTAGTTTCTGCAGCTATATGCTGGTCATACGTCCTAAGTATAGGCACTAGTATAATTTCAGAAAACAGGATATAGTTGAGCTTATGTTGGTTACAACCACAATGTACAACTCCTGGAGCAAACCCTGTTTGCACTAAGGGATCCTTTGTGGGGCAGATTTTTGTGATGTCACGTAGATCACAGCTTATGGGCAGAACTAGGTTAGCACTCGAGTACTGCTATACATCTTCTGGGTTGTGTATTCATTAAGTAGAGTAAAATGCTGACCTGGAATAAATATTAGACTATCTGAACCACTCTCATTAAGCCATTAATTTTTTCTAATTTCTACATATAGTCTTTTCTTTTGACATCTGATATTCTGCATTTTTGCTGCTTTTATTTTTTGTTGGTCCAACAACCTCCCAAATCTAAAGTTTTCCCCAAATTTCTTCTGCACTGTAACCCATTTTTTCCTGTTCAAATGAATTTAACTGAGGCATAATTTATATATAATACAATATACCTATTCTAAGTGTACAGTTTCCAGTTTTGATAAATGTCTACACCCTGTAACTACCACTGCAATCAAGGTGGAAAATATTCCCATCATCCCCACATTGTTCCTCAGGTGCCTTTGTGGTCCCTCACCCTTACCCAAAGGCAGCTGCTGATCTGTTTCTTATCACTGTAGACAATTTTATTTGCCTGAAAGTGCAGCTGTATAGCAAACATAGTGATCTTGCTTAGCCTGTACATTTATTTGGGGTTCTCATGTTTCACAAATGTCTACTGATCCTCTATTATGTGCCAGCCATTTCCCACCAATTCTCTTGTCTGTGCTGGTGATGACAGTAAACCATGGAGATATTTTTATAACTATATCTCATAGGTAATCTTTTTATTACTTGTCAATATGCAATATGGAATTAAGGGAAAGATATATATTCAGAATATATTTATTCAATTTCCAGTTTGGATAATTGCATTTTGTATTGAGTATTGACTTTTATTGAGCATAATTGATATATAATAAACCTCACATATTTAAAGCATACAATTTAACAAGTTTTGACATATGTATACCCCATGAAATCATTATCATACTCAAGATGATGAACGTGTCCATCACTCTTAGAAGTATCCTCGTGATCCTGCTCCCCCATTCTGTCCATATGAGAATTCTAATGGTTCCACATCTTCACCAACACTTAGTATGGTTAGTTTCTAAAATTTTAGCCATTCTATTAGGTATTAGTGGAATCTCATTTTAATCTGCATCACCTTAATGACTAATGATGTTGAGTTTGTTTTGTGTTTTTTGAGTATATTTTTGTGATTATTTCAAAGAAGTTTTTCAGCACTTTAAGACTTTTCTGATGAGACCAGTGGTGATATTGACAAATTTGATTTTTTAAAATATTATATAGTGAAATGTTGCAAATGGTAAGGTTTTATTCTTTTTTATGGCTGAGTAATAACCAGAAGTGGAATCACTGGGTCATAAGGCAGTATAATTTTTAATTTTGGAGGAATTAAAATTACTGTTTTCCACAGTGGCTGCACCAATCTGCATTCCCACCAACAGTGCACAAGGGTTCCCTTTTCTCCACATCCTACTCAGCATTTGTTTTTTGATGACTTACAGACGGTAGCCATTCTCATTGTAGTTTTAATTTGCACAATGAAGACATTTCTTGAATTATGCAATGTCAGGTCGACCTCTAGCATTTTTGTGTGCCACCCTTTACCACTAGCAAACAAATTCAGTCCCTACTGCCCAGCAGACCTGTAATTTAGAGAGAAAGTGGTGTTTTCTTTTGGACTTGGACTATGTAGGGGCTTGTCGGTGAGAAGCGAAATGTAGGAAAGACATGGTTGAAAGTAGTAGAGAAACTCAATGTCCTAAATATTTTTTTCTCCAGGCATGTCCTGAAATGTGACATTCCATTCCCATAATCTGTCATTTTCTACCCTGCAGTCAACGGTCCAACCTTTCAACATGTTCTTGCAAGCAAAGGTCTAAACAAGGAAGATGCTGCAGAAAAATCTTTTAGCAGTATCAGCAAAATGTAATTGAAATGCAGATTTTAGTAGTCTCACCCTTTTGGTGCCTTTTAAAGGGACCCCAGAAAGAGATGCCTATAGCCCAGGGACTGTAAGATGTAGCTCACCAATAGCCTCACTCGAAATCCTGTCTCCACTTCCGATTTCTCTGTCTTAGTTTCCCCTTTTGCAGAACAGGGATAACTTGTTGTGAGGATTAAGTGAGTAAACACAGTGCATGTGTAAAACATTTAGAACAGTCCCTGAGCACAGAGCAAGCATATGTAAGTGGTAGCTGTTATTTTAATGCCTTAAGCAGTTACTGGTTTTGTTTCTCCCCGCTTTCATATATATACACAAGGTTTGTATGATATTCATATCAAGATGTATATAATCTTAGGATGTTGTATACAATTAAAAGAGCTTTGAATTTAATGAGTTTCCAAGTACTGTAGCTATTAAGGGCAATAGCCAGAAGGAAGAATGTTTTAATTTCTACAGCATTTTTCTGGGGACTAGTGTTCTTTCATAGTAGTCAGCATGTTACCGGAGAATTGTGTGGATTGCCTTTCTCCTTCACTAGTGGGAATAGGGTTCCTGCGGTGGTCCTGGAATAAGCACCCCGCCCTCACCCCAGGACCACCTTCCCTGCTTTATTTTTTCCATAGCATGTATTACTTTTCACTTTCCTATTTGTGTACCGTTCGTCTTCCTCCCCTGGAATATAAACTCCACGAGGACAGGGGTTCTCATTTCTTTTGCTCACTGCTGTAATCTTAGCGGTTTCAGTTGTGCCCGGAATGCAGCGGACACTAAAAATAGTTGTTGGTTAATTAACAAATGAATGAATCTGCCCACAAGTATATTTCTTGGGACTATATTGTTAGGTGAAAGGTGCTGTCTTTTATTTAGTGAGTCCTTGTATCACTGAAAGGAGTGGTTTTGCTGCTGATGAGATATTTCACCAAACATATAGGGAAGCCCTTCTTGAGGCCTCGAGACGTACAGTCTAGCACCATTCCCATCTATTCATGTGAACACATTAGGCTGGTGGTGTATTTGGAGGGGGTCACTTTTAGCCGAAGAGGCAGTGTGCTCTGTTAGAAAGAGAATTATAAAAGGACCATGTCCCCTGAATCTTATCAAAGCTGATCCCTTTTTACATTGCTTAGTTGCATGGAATCATTAGCAAAATGGTGTCTTTCCTTTATCTGCTTCAAAGTGGTATTGTGAGAGTAAATAAGAATAAATAAGCACTTATGTTTATAGAGTGTTTTTGGTGATTATTTAAGGGCGTGTGAGACTTTTCAAGAGGATCTTCTTGCTAAAGAGCCTATTTTATGCTTGAAGGAGAGGTGCAGCCTTGCAGCCCCGCATATCATGTGGAATCAGGCAGGGGCGGGTTCAGCTGGCCCCGGGCATACAGAGGGAGCAATGGCTTTAAACTTGGTTCTGCATCAGAACCACTCCAGGAATGCAGAATTCCTGGAGCACAGGCTCCTGGAACACAGACTCCTGGAACACAGACTCCTGGGCCCAGTCCTGGAGTTTCTGAGTCAGTAGGTCCTTGGTGAAGCTGAGAACTTGCATTTAGAACCTGTTCCCAGGCGATACCATTCTGCGGGCTCAGGCATTAGACTTTGGAATAGAGCATAGACTGCTGTTTGCGGCTTCACTTTGGCTGGGTGCAAACCCTTCCTCCATCCTCGCTGCTGGAGACTGTGCTCTGGTTGGGGCCCCCTTGCTGTGGCATCCAGGGCCCCTGCTGGTGGCTGAGAGAGAGAGGGACCAGAGTGATGGATGAAAGTAAGCTCAAGTCTCACTGTTTTCCAGCTGAGCTTTGCTTCTGCGACTGTTAGGACTGACATTTCTATCCCATACAAGTGGCGATGACTTATCATAGACAAACCAAAGGATTGATCTGGTTAATTCACTAATTCTGAAGAAAGGCAGAGACTGAGAGTGGGAGTAGATTAAGCCAATGGTCCTGAAACCACCATCATGACCTCACAGGAGTGCTGACATAGTAAGTAGATCTAAGGTCGTTTAAGAAATAACATTTTAAATAAAAACCCAGACGATTCGACTATGGATAAACAGAGAACCCACTTTGAGCAATAGTTGATTTCATAAGTTGCCCGAGTTCACCCAGATAATAGCAGACATGGAGTAGAGCCACGTCTAACTCACCGAGGTGTGTTCTTGAGTCTCTAGGCCTAACGAGGCAATGGTTTGGGAGATAGGTGGAGTCACTCATGCCCTTTCAACTGTGAACAAGCCAGCTCCTTCTAAACGAGTCTGATGCAAAATTCTTGATATGAATTATGCTTTTCTGTGCTTCAATTTCAGCCAATATTATTTAAGAAAATGACAATTATGGGCATCAATTATAGCATCAATTTAAAAATATTATAGCAAATAACATTTTCTCTAAGGCAATCTGTTTAAAGACTGTATAATTCCATGTGATACAACACAATTTAATGTAATACAATTGAATACAGTACCTTATAGCACAATACAACAAGAAAACAATGCAATGCAATGCAATGCAAGGGAACTTCTCATTGTAGCTGCAGTGCAGGTCTTAGGCTGTGGCGCCCTCTAGTGGCAGAACTGAAAAGCTTTTTTGTTGGTGTTACAGCTGTCCCTTTGAAATGAATGAAGGAGCACTGTCAATATTAACAGCATGTTAGAACGGAGAGGAGATGAGGTTCAGCTGTTTTATTATAAAGCCGAGGTGATTGATTTAGAGACCTGAGCTTCCACCTGAGCTGGTCATAAAGTAACTTATCGTGCTGTCTACACTACTGATTATTTTCACCGTATTCTTTTGATTTGTGATGAATTAGTTGCCCAAGTTCATTCAGATGATAGCATATGGAATAGAACCATATCTAATTCATTGAAGAATAGTAATCAGCTTGATGCTCCAGCCAGCAGGTAAGGAGACTGGAGTAGCAAGTACAGGAGTTTTAGAAACCCTATGAAAATTAACATATTATACATATAAAAATAGAATTTATAATTGAATATAATAGAAAAATATATATATCTTCTAATAAAGAGTCATCTTCTCTCTGTGGTTGGAGAGCAGCTACATCTATCCTGTTTGGTGACAGAAGCAGGAGAATGTTAATGATAAAAAGATTCCTTATTTTGCAAAAGGTACATGCACAATTATAATTTATTCAGCTAATATTTATTGAGTACCTACTGTGCTTTCATTTGCTCAATTGAAACACACACATACACACACAGCCATTTCATCTGCGTGGTAGGATCCTTTTCCTCGTTCAGACATTTACTGAGGATGATGAGAGATTTTTGTTCCAGGCACTGTGCTAAGTACCAGTGGAACTCACAGTTGTGGCCTGACTCCACCTTCTTTGTGAAACATGATATTATATGGGATCCAATGCTAAGGGATCAAACTCAGGTGATCCACTTAGGTGCCTCTTGACACTCTCTTGCCTGATTTTTGTTGTTGTTAATCCTCACCCACGGATATTTTTTCATTGATTCTTAAATAGAGTAGAAGGGAGAGGGAGAGAGAGATGGAGAGAGATGGAGAGAGAAACATCGATGTGACAGAGACACATTGATTGGTTGCCTCCACCATGACCCTGACTGGGGCCGGGTGTCGAACCTGCAACCCAGGTATATGCTCTTGACCAGTAATTGAACCCGAGACTTTTAGGTCTGCAGGCTGACACTGTAACCTCTGAGCCAAACTGGCCAGGGCTCTCTTGCCCAATTTTGATGATAAATAGACAAGTGTAGCAATCCTGTCCTGAGAAGGTCACAGTGATCATGGCTTTAGGCTTTTTGAGGGCAAGTTCCTGGATCATGTCACCTGGAAGACTCTAAGACAAGGAGGGGTGCAAGCTGAGGAGAAAGAAAATCTTCAACGGGTAATGGAGGAGGGAGATGGTATGGACTGCATTTCCAAGACCACTTGCAGTGAGGACACTGCAGTTCTTCCCACTTGACTTCCTCTCCCACGTTCCTCCCAGGAAGAGACCCCCGGAACCCTGGAAGAGCTGCCTACCCCTATCTGCACAAGAGCAAGTGGATGCCAGCAGTGCTGGGCTTGACTGCAGGAGCCATGAGCTGTGGC